TACGTAACCCTCAAATCGGTTGTGCGCGAAAGCTTATGTTTCATCACGTCCCTTTTTCGTTTCTACTTCCGATAAATAAAACATTTTATCACTCACTAACAACAAAATGGCGAATTGACGTCATGTGAAAAACGCCATATTTGAGTGCGCACGCTCACAATGAGCTCACACTTCTAAGCTGCTTAGACCGGTAGACTTAGTGGTGTAGTGTGAACGTTGCAAAAACACAGTGGAAGCTCGCCATGAGCTCGCGCTCAGCAGCCATGCAAGCTCTCAGCTATGGCCGCCAGTGAGTACACCTTATTCACCTCGAGATTTGATCGCCACGGCTCATATAAAGCAGGACTACGCTATGTTTCACACTTCCTTGGAGCGATACGAATTTTACGGACGCGAGGTCAAAGCAATGAGAGGCGGCAGCGCTCGTGCACTGAATTCAACTGCTAAGAGCTCGTGCTATGTACCCTTGCCCGTGCTCTTCGCCGTTAGTGTGGATAGTTTATCTCCAGCCGCATTGTGGGCAGAGGGAACCGCCACGTGCCTCATAGAGAACCATGAATAAACAAGAGCACGCTTCCCTTAAATTCAGTTTGGGTCTCGAGGCCAATAGGCTGGTGGAGGTGCATTCTTTTTCTCGTGCAGGGTTCGCTGGCTGACGGAGTCGGCCGTGCCGTTCGTACGCCACCACGACGTGCATCCGTCGGTGGAAGAGTGCTTCCTACACTCCGGCCAGGTCCCCGAAGAGGAGGCCAACCAGGCACTCAGCTACTCCGACCTCCAGCCCTTTTTCCTGCTTCACGTTCTTTTGCTCACCTCCTCCGTCGTGCTGTGCGCGTTCGAGGTGGTCCTCGGGAAAACCGTTTCTTGCAAGAAACGTGGTTAAAGGCCCGTTCGTACTCGTGCGTTTGCTTAGGACCGATCTCTTCGGACCTCTTGAGAGGACACACTTAGAGTGCCTTCATACACACGCGTGCTTTTGCTTGAGTGGCAACATCTCAGCCATTTTTCTGCCCAATCGTTTTTTTATGTATTTTGAAGTGCGCGCAATCCGGTGTCACTCAGCTGGAGCGCGTAGCCTTGTCTAATGCATAGACGCCATTTTACCGCCCAAGTCACGCACCGAGTGCGCCAGAGCGTCACGCGCTGGCACATTCAGGGCAACAATGAATGTCTTCACCCTGAGGCAGACATGTAGGCATCCTAGACACACTGGCGCCATCTATGAGGTTACCCTGGAACTGCATTCCTCTATAGCACAGGCTTTGTAATATTTGCGATATCAAACGTACGTAGTGTCTACGAAAAATGGTCGTTTGTAACATTGTCAAAAGTATTTCGAGCCAAGAAAGAATGATGCTCGAAAAATATAGGAATATAGGGAAATTGAAAGTATGATTCCCACACGGCCCCTCAAGGAAGAACAAATGACGATAATGATGACAATGAAAAGTAAGCATAATCACTAATGTCACCAATTTTAGTTAAAAAAAAAAACTGCCAGTCGAGCCCGGCTGTACCACAGTCAGGTATTTCGAATTATGGTTTATATCTAACAGTCCAAACATCCCCTTGAATTTCACGGCTTCATGCGTGGAAGGTCTGTTAAGACAAATCTGGTGTCTTTTTTTTAATTTTTGTTTCGCCTACTGTGTGTCAACGTGGACAGGTAGACGTTGTATATTTTGATCGCTCTAAGGTTTTTGACCTAGTAGACCATTCGCTCCTTGCACACAAACTAGAATCGTACGGCGTGGGTACCTCTCTTTGTTCCCTGTTTCTAGATTATTTGTCTAATAGACACAATTTTGTTCGTGTTCTTGGACATCCCACTCCCGGCCTTATGTTTCTTCTTCGGGTGTGCCGCAAGGCTCCATACTTGGGCCGATCTTTTTCAATGTTTTAGGGGCGAAGCACCTTAGGGTCTAGCCTTGTCCGTCCGGCGTCCGTGCTCACATCGATCTTGCTGGTGCTCGTGCTCGTGAGCTCACGTGCTCACGTGCCCGTGTATGGCAAAACAAAATTGATAAAAAAAAAATGTTTGCGCAGTCAACAGGATTCGAACCTGTGCGGGGAGACCCCAATGCATTTCTAGTCCATCGCCTTAACCACTCGGCCACGACTGCGGGACGAGTAGGGGGCTCTGAGATGTGGTAGTAACTCGAGAGCTGGGGTTTCTGTCATCGATGAAACGTTGCATGTAGCCGCTCAACGTCGAGACAGGAGAGGGCGCTGCGGTCAAATGCGTATATATAATCGCATTAAACTTTGCATGCATTGGCGCTGCGTTCAAATGCTCAAATGCGTATATAACCACGTTCCACACCACACATTCTCTTTCTGACATGGATGAAAACGAACGAAAGGCTCTGCATGCTGCGGCTCAGCGTCTACGCAGAAAAGCACCACCAGAGCTTCGCGCCAATCAACATCATTCACCACGTGGAGATGCGGTCAATTTTTATTAATGATTTGAGCTCGACTGTTCGCAATTCGGTCGTCTTGCAATATGCAGATGATGTCAAGTTGTTTAGGCAGATCATATCCTTGGAAGACTGTGAAAAACTTATGGAGGATGTTAGGCGTGTGTGCAATTGGTGTCGTCAGAATATGCTAACGCTCAATCCTTCTAAAACCGTTATTGTGTCTTTGTCTAGAAAGGTAGAAAAAATTAACTTTTGTTACCAGATTGGCAATGATCCCCTGCGAAAAGTCGAGTGCACGCGTGAACTTGGTGTATATATAGTCTCTTCGTTATACTTTACTGTACATGTTAAAAACATTAGAAATGGCTCTTTGCGTAAGCTGGGGAGTAATTTCTAGAATCACGCGTGAGTTCTCCACATCAACCTGTACTCTTGTGTTATATTTCTCGTTAATCCGGACCAAGTTGGAGTTTTCCTCTGTAGTCTGGAATTGTATTAGTTCTACGAGCCAAGAGATGATTGAAAATGTTCAAAAGCGTTTTTTTCGAATTGTTTACGATTGTTACATTGGTCGTACTGTTTATTATTCTTATGCGAGACTCTTGGAACGATGCAAATGCCCTTTGAGTTCCAGACGCCGTGAGCGCGATTTTGTTTTCCTGTATAAATGCATTCATGGATTAATTGATTGCCCAGATCTCACATCTGCTATTAATATTCACGTTCCGAGTCGAGTTTTGCGGGTTTCTCCAACTTTCCATGTTAATCACATCATCCATACCAGTCCCATGAGCCGTATTCAGCACTTCTACAATACCCTCAGAGGAGCAGATATTGATGTTTTTAACCCATGTAACCTGTGAAAATTTTGTTGTGCATCATTACGAAGGCGTCAAGCAGTTCATGAGCACAGAAAATAAATGAATGAATGAATGGCGAACGAAGCCCGGCCGCCCGTTGCTTTTCCCGGGATCCGATTGCGCCGGCGGCGAGCACATCACTTGCGTTGCGGGGCTGGCTGACGGCCAAGCCAGCATACACGCCGTAAAAAAAAAAAAAAGAAAAAGTGGAGGATGGTAAAAACAAGGGAAAGGGCACGCGCGCGCGCCTAGGGTGAGCAGGGAGTGTCCGCGTTCAGAACGGTAGCCTGCGCCCGTTCTTCCCCAACCCCCCCCCCCCCCTCCCCCCCTGATGATCTCCCTAACCTCAAAATAAAAGGAGCAAAAAAAAAAAAAAAGTTTTCGGTAAGTCAAGTGTGTCGACAACAACGGTCGTGCAATCGCACTTCGAACGCCTTATCTTTGGTTACCTTTTTTCATTTGCCTTTATCACTTTGCCAGTTTTCTTTTTTTCCTTCTTTCCTGTTTGAATTTACCCAACTTATTTCTTTGTTGCTTGCTTAACTTTTTTTTCTATGGAGCGGGAGATATTTATTATGCGTCTCGCCTTTCCGGTTTTTATTTATTTATTTATTTATTTTTTCGGCCAGGTTTTGGCCAGGCGCGCGTGTAAGCGCGCGGGGGTGTTTGCGATCTCCGCCAACTACGCTCTACTGCATTTAGCGGCTCTTGTAAGCTACCGTTTGTCGCGACCTTCGGTATTAGCAGAGAGGCCAGGAAATTTCAACTCTAACTTATTTTAACATATTTTTGTGTATAAAGTTATTGATATATCGAACTATTTTACGATCCCCTTTGAATTCGATATATTTGGTATCGACTGCACTTGTTGGCAAAACCTGGTACCGTTCCACGCCATTATTTCTCTTATTATCCAACCAAATTAGCAAAATTGCTCTATGAGGTCTACAATCAGAGCCATGTTAGCAACACAGAAAAAAATTATAACTTTTTTTTTATTGACAATTGACACAAACCTAGCTAATGCTAGCACATTTCGTAACCATATAATAAATATAAATGGCTCCCAACAGCACCTGAAAAAAAAATTTCTTTAGTGATTTTCAACACTTCATCCAGCAATATGTTTGTATGGTGTTGTGCCCAATTTCTGAGAAGAAATGAACAATGCAGGCACTAACACCTTTCAAGAAAAGCTAAGTGCAGGTTTTTTTGTTTTTTTTTTGTAAATGTAATACAGTATAAGCTCGTTATAACAGACCTTGATTTTGATCAAGATTTCGATCTGTTGTAAAAGAAGTATGTTGTATGCAGATATGAAGAAGAGAGGGAAAACAACCAAACTTCCCAAATCGGTATGTTATATCCAAATGTCTGTTGTAATGAGCTTAGACTGTAGCTACAAACGCCATGCACTCATTAAAAGAGTTGAAAAAATTTCTCTTTGCATGCCGTGAAACAATATAATAGTGAGATTTGCCTAAATATGACAGAATTACTATTTCCTTTTTCATTAGAGGTTTGTGCACCAAGTTCAAGGTTTTTCCACGTCCAGTGACTGCTATGTCATCACATTGTTAGTGTTTGAGTTTTTCTACTTGGGGTGGATGTGCTAGCTGGGAGAAGTGCACACAGCCAAGCCTTGCCAAACACTTAAAGCACTGTCTTATCTCGCTATGATGGCTATTATGATCATTATATATGATATTATTCTTACCATTTTGAGTGCCTAATGGCCATTTACAGAAATAAAGTCATCAATAGGATGCTCGGTCAATAATCTTGTCCTGCAAAGGAAAACAAAGGCGAAAATTGAGACATCACAGCAGCATTGTGAACAACTTTACGGTTTGCAACTATGAAGGGACGGTCACTAAGCTCTAGCAAAGTATATCTTTTATATGCAGGAAAAAACTAGATTTTAAGATGCACCCGTTTTAGCCCTCGTGCTTTTCAAGATTTAATGCAATCTAACACCCAATAACGCCGGTACTCGATTCTGCCAAAAACTTTCTCGAGCAGAGAAAAAAGGAACGGTTTGGCGTTCTGGTGCGGCTCAGAACCGGATTATAGTGGCAGTAATCCGGAAGCTCCAGACAGGCAATAAAAGCAGGGGCAGCAAATCTTAGCAGAGTTTCCTGGGGTTTCCTTAGGCTCACAAAACTTTTGACGATATTATAAACGACTCTCTCTCATGGATAGTATGTGTATTTCATCTCGCAAATATCGAAAAACCTCCGCTCTAGTAAATTGCAGTTCCAGTGTCACCTCTTAGGTGACGCCAGCGTGCCAGCGTGTTCGCTCGTCGTAAGGTACCGCAAGCACTCGGTCGTAAGGGAGTGCAAGCGTGTGAGCGTGCCTTCAGTCCCCGCATACCTTGATCGCGGTGCAGGCATCGAGGATCTGCAGGCCCACGCTGCGTGCCGCAACGGCGGGGCCCGAGTTGAACCGGTAGAGCGCCACCAGGCCCTCTATGGCCAGCAGGAAAGGCACCGTGTGCCTCTGGCGCTCCGTCTCGTAGGCGAGCAGCGTGTCGAAGCTCACTGCGCATGCAATCAGACCCAAGGTTTGCGGCGATGCGCAGTATGGAAGACAAGTAACGGAGTGGGTCACTCCGATTCCGGACTGCTTTCTATGCATGGGCGGGGGGTGGACACCAAACTAACAGGTCAAAGACGCGTTCCGTGCGCCGTGTCCTCACCTATGGGGCTGTCCTCGTAGACCGAGCGGACCAGGAGTTTCGCGAGCCCCTGGGAGTCCCCGAACCCGAGGTTGACACCCTGGCCAGCCATGGGATGGATCCTGTGAGCTGCATCCCTGACGGAGAAAACAAAACGCCACCGAACGATCTCGAACGGGTCCTAAAACAATTTTTCGTTTCGCTTTGGACAGAGTAAACAATTTTCGTTCTATAAAAAAGGAATCAGTTTTTTTTTTTATTTTTGCACAGCTTCGGTAACATTGTCGCGTTCCTTCTCCTCCTCGATTCCGTCTTTTTTTTCCCCCGACCCCAATGAGCAAAACCTCGCGCACACAGATGCGAAACATGCCTTTGGCAGGGCAACGCGTTTCTGCTAAGGAGCACAGACAGGAGCAGTTGGCACGCCCCCATGTCACTTAACAAAATCTGTTAGAACAGCATCCTATACCAGCTGCGTTTAATTGCAAACGAGCATCTGCAAGCGCCCGACAAATTCCATCCCACAAGGGTCGATCATCGGGGCTGGGCTCGGTTATGTATGGTATGCATAACACGGTCATGGATGCTTTCAGCGCAACTTTTGTCACCTGACATTGAATGACTCCTGCCTTGAAAAGCTCGGTTATGTTTGTGTTTACGGTATGTATAGTTGACAGTGACAATGATGATGATGATTGCTCACCCTATGAGGGCCACCCTGGGCAGCACATAGTGCGCAGCGTAGCTGAGTCCGAGGGGAAAGGTTGCGCGGCTGCCTGGCACCAGCTGGAGAATGTTCACGGGAGCCGCAGGGTGGCCGCCGTTCACTGCATGCCACCCAATGACATAAAGGAAACATTCAAGCGGCATGATGATAGGCAATTAGTTTTAATAAACCCAAAAACAGTGCGCAATGGCCTTTGTAGGCATGCACAGAAGCACATGAGAAGAGCAGAAAATGCATACTACATATGTTGCAACAGGGGAAATTATCATTTTTTAAAATTATTAACGATGTAGAAATTATTTTATTATTCTTAACAATATGTAAATTAAATTTTTACAGTTTATGGTGCTTAATCTTCTCTTTATAAATCTGGTGTTAGAATTGTTATAGCTTGTTCTTTTTTTGGTTCTCGATGCAATGTACATGCAAAAAAAAAAAAAAAGCTACAGAAGACTGCAATGGACAGGAGATGGCTAGGCCTACTTGTCAACGTAAATGTGATGGCGGGCGACGTCCCAACTTAAAGAACGACGCAGAAAGAAATGGCTCGAATTCATGTCGTTCTGGGTTACCTGGAGGTCTTCAAATGCGTATTTGACTAATTTCGCAATCATGACTGGCACTAATTATTTTTATACAGCATATATAAAGATTCAAAAATAATAAAACACCATAAAACCTGAAATTACCTTTTTTGCAGGAAATTGCCGTTTTTCGACCCACATCTATTTCGCTCCCTCCCTCCATCCTCCTCCTCCTCCTTCCCCCCCCCCCCCCTTCTTAAGCGGTCTTCACACTTTTTGAGAGTTAAAGCACCTGAGAATCGGGAGTTCAGAATGCAGATGTATATTCCCAACAATCAAGACAAACTTTAAAAAAAAGTTTATTTTTACAGACATTTACGCTGCCTAAGGCCCACTTCTGACGGAGCAATAGACCCTTTCCTAAATTCAGCGCCATCTGGTGGCTGAAATGGCGGTTTAACTTTTGCCATACGAATGGCGGCAATGAACCCGTAGCCTGCAGTATTTTATCGGGCAACGTCACTTTTGCATGTCAACGGCAGACGAGAATAAACTTTTCGCTATACAGGTTTTTCTGGATCATCTCATCCAGTCTCGATTCCCACAACGATACAACCAGTCAGAATGAAGCGCCAACCCAGACAGACGCCTTGATAAAGTTCTATAAGTCAAGGGGTTTCGAAGTCGATCTTGTGCCAGTAACAGGTTCACCGGGCTCGAATTAGAGAAATGAACACTTACGCAGCGCTTGCATTCAATTCCGGTTTTGCAACGTGCTACCGTCTAGAATGTATAGGCCTCGAATCCTCAGCTTAGGAGTATCTTCAGCATGTTCCTTCATCAGTAAATAGAAAGCCGCCATTGGTATGGCACATATGCCATTTTCTGATGATGATGATAGTGATCAAAGTGGCCAGACTGAATTTCGGGAAGGGTCTAGTTCACCCAGCAACTTGACGTCGCAACGCCAGCAACACAGCCCGCACGCGTTCACACGCAGCAACTGAATTGCTACAACTTGCCATCATCATCATCATAAAATTTTATTTTTCTTCCACTCTTTAGACACACAATTATGCGCTATAAACGTGTTTTTATTCATTTAAATGACGTTGAGAATACTAGTGCATCTTTCTGCAACGGTTTATCTCCAAAAACGATAAATTTCAAACCAGAGCCAAGTCTTTAGTTGTCATCATCACCGGCACGGGGTTTCACGGGAAAATACCGCATCCCTGATTGGCTGCAGCCGCTTCAAACGTCTTCGTTTTGCTCCGAGTTGCTCGCTTATTTCAAGCCGGACCCGATCTCAGCAATTCGTGTCGATGTACGGAAAGCTAGGGAACAACCCACCAGCAACACCAAAATTGCTGAGAAAGTTGCTCCATCTGAAGGCCTTAGCCCCTGCACCCATGAGTAAAGAAAAAATACATACTTCATAATGTCTTTCAAGATGCATGAATTTCCATGTCCTTTTCGCTAATAGAGGCTTGCGCCATTACAGAGATCTGTGTGAGCATTCATGACCTACCACTTTTCAGCACTGGGTGTGAGGACAAGGGAAAAAAAGGCCACATTGCAAGAAAATATGCGCACCCATGTGCCCAATTTTACTGAACAAAAGTGCCACAACCCCGCCGAGAAAAGAGTAAAAACTTTATCCACAAATTTAGCGAGCATCGACAGCTATACATACAATCGGCATTTGCGCCGAATGGCAACGTTCGCCAAAAACATGGGCACTCATGTGGCACGCACATAAACAGAGCGATCTAGGAAGGTTCTCACCTAGCCCGAACCTCTTGAGAGTGGAGCCGACCGCAGAGACCACACCCTCCACCAGAGGGATCTGCCTGCTCTCTCCCCACTGCCAGGAATTGTGCAAAAAAAAAAAAAGAAAGCAAAGCGTTGAGTTGGACGTGCTTTACACCACCTCTATGGCACCTGGAATGCTCACATTCTCTTGTTCTTTTTTGTTTGTTTTTTTGGCAGGATCGGGACATTTGACAGCATGACACAGTCTTTTGTGATGCCATCTGTGATCACTTTCGGACCACTTTTGATCCATGGTTGGGAGAGGATGCCAAACGCACCAGTTGGAGATACGAGCAATGCACCGCCGTCAACCCGTCGTGATGAGGCGGTGCAAATCCCCTCATGATCGCTCATCATCGTTCGGTTGAGGGCATCCACAAAGCTGTCCTCTTCCAGCCGCATCAACTTGTCCGCCAGATCCGTTCTCAGCGTCCACACCAGGGAAGAGTGCTTGGTGTCCAACTAAGATTGGACGAGAATAAAAAACGAAACAAGAAAAAAATTATGGTGACGCAACAAACAATTTTTTTCCTATCAACGGTAACTCTGTTTAGTCTATGCAAGGCCCAGGCAAAAATCAGTCCACTTCCAGCTGGATTATGGAACTGTAAATGAGGCTGGATCCAGCTGGAAGCCGGCTGGACCCACCTGGACCGCCTCATTTCCAGTTCCATAATCCAGCTGGAAGTGAACTGATTTTTGCGTGGGGGGTTAGGTTAGCAATCCTTACCGGCAACAGAGCCACCACGCCATGTGGTAGAAATCGCTGCCATGCCACCGTGTTGTCCGTTGGCTGCATGAAAGCGGAGAAAGATAAGCGGTAGTTAACGGGGTTGTAGAGCTACGATGCCAAAACCTGACCACAAAACAATTGTTTTCACTTGGGCTAAATAGTGTTCAGAATAAAACGCTTCACATTTATAAAGGTTGGAATGGGCACTGCTTTTTCTCTACAAACGCTAATTTTTGCAAAAAGAGGCTCGCATTTCTTCCCCTCCTTAACTGCCCGTTTGTGCCTTTGAGAGCTGCGTACAATCAAAAATATTTTTTCCCTCTCAGTGATGAATAATCTATTCGGTTTTGCTTGCTGGAGGTCGAATACAGAGGATGTAAGCTGTAAAACACCACTGTAGAACAGAATTCTATCTCTAATGACTTTGGCAGCAACGGTGGCAGCGAATGGACGTTTCATAATGAGGCATTTCTGCATTTTACAACTGACCCCTGCTGAACTTTGGGCACTTTCGAAGAGGACAAGCTGTGTGGCATAGCCATGTTTTCTGGATTCAAGCTCCGTGGACCGTGATCGTACGTCCAACCGGCTGATCGCCGTCTGTTCGAGTTGGCTGTAATCTTCAAACTTGTTATCGCTTGATTTGACTGGGCGTGCCCGTAATGCTCTGGCCACTTTGACAGCAACGGCGGTAGCGAATGGACGCTTCACAACGAGTTATTTTTGCATGTTACATGTTGCTAACTTATTTTGTTTTTACTTGTATTGAAGTGTGTACCTCACACACTGCTAGCACTGTTGCCGCCATAAGCGCTTTGTTGGGAGCGTTTTCATGTGTGGTTGCTATTTCGTTGCCCAAACATTGTTTCTGTAGTGTGTTCCTCTAAAACCTGGAGTTATGAAAAAAGAATTTTGGGAACCTGAGTGAGCGCTGTCAAAGCTATTGGAGAGAAGCTTCCCAATTGCATCGAGGAAATCGACAACATTCTGATTGACTCGATAATTAAACTTGATGCATTCGCGACGGATATAAAAAATGATGTCGGGAGGTATCAAATTCGAATTCAGCCATTCATGCCGAGCTTATTGGCATATGGAAGTTGACACTTTTCTTAAGCGCAGATGTCGAACAATTCAAGAAGGAAGTTGCGGGTTTCTGTCGAGATATATTCTAAGTAAAACAACAAAACCCACGACATCTCAAAGACAACCAACATATGATCAAAGAGCTCAATGAAGCAAAAAGAGAAATAGTGAAACTTAAACAGTACACCAGAATGTATGAACATTGAGATTAAAGGGCAACTCCGCTCAATTCCGAGGATTTCGGGATAATGAGTGATTTCGAATTAAAAAGCCCTGGTAAAAGATACTACGTCGTTTGCTTTGCGAAAAATGGCATATATATTTTTAAATCTAATTTTAAACACGAGCGGAAATCGAAACCGAAACTTCGGCTTCGTCTGGCAACATTGACCTCAGGTCGCCAAGAACATGGCCATTACGTGGTGCGAGATGTTACGTGATCCTCGGCCCAACGACGAACGGGATTGGGGCGGGCGTGTGGCAGGCGCAAGTGTCGTCTGCACCGCACTCTTCGCCACATTTTGGTGTCTACGGCATTCGACGACGTCTGCACAACTGCGGCATGAGTCTGCGCACGTGGTGTTTGTAGTGGGGACGAAACTTGGAGAGACAATAATCGCAAACGGTGAGACGATGACGGTAGTTGTGACGTGGAAGACGGCGGTAATGGCGGGACCTCGGTGGGCGGCCGGACAGCTCCTAAGAAGCGCGCTGCGCAGGCGCGTTATGTCAATCACGTGGACACCGCTGAGCGCCGAGAGGCAACTCTGCTGACGTCATGCGCTAAGCTCGCCCAAAGAAGTAAAAACAAGCAAAAGGGAGCCATGATCGTGACGTTTAGCTCAATGTTGGCTCCGCCCATGCCATAGCCTTGACTACGCTGTTGGTTGCGCCTAAATTCGCCCGCTCGAGTCAGCCGATTTCGGCAACTTGGTGAGTTGCAAAGTATGCCGGACCGTTTAAGAAACATTTAGACAGAACTGCGTTATAATATTTGACGTGTGGTCTTCCTAGGCGATACTGAAGAGGACTGCATTGTTTTTTCAGAACCAAAAATGAAGCAGAGTTGCCCTTTAAAGGGCTTCCGAATGTTACAAGTGAAGACTCGAGGAAAACTGTGGAGGCAATAGCAAGCTGTCTTGGCACAACGGTTTCTGGAAGTGACATAGTTGCAGTGCATCAGGTGAAATCCAAAGACAAAGGGAAGACAACCGTTGTGGTAAAATTTGCCACACGTTCCGTGCAAGACAGGATGCTCTCCGTAACAAAGAAGACAAAATTAAATACCAGTGTTCTAGGTTTCCAAAATAGCGAACCACCGTACGTAAATGAACATCTTTGCGTTAAGAACGAGACACTACTTGGCAAAGCTTGTCAGTCGAGCCGAGAGGAAGATTGGAAATTTGTCCAGGTAGCGCAACGTAAGGTCCCAATGCAAAAGGCTCAAAACTCGCATGTTCTACACGTCAAGTGGGAAGATGACTTGACAAGAGTTGTGCGGTTTATGCAACAAGAGCTCTGGATTGTTATTTCACGGTCAACATGCCTTACAATTATCATCAAGTTAATCAATTAACACATAACAGTGGTACTGTTTCAATATTTCATAGCAATGCACGTAGTACACGTTAAAAACTTTAATTCTTTGCTTGCGTATCTTTCACGGCATGAGTTTGATTTTGGTGTAATTGCCATAAGTGAAGCATGACTGCAAAACAATGAAATGGCATTTATACAAGGCTATAATTTGTCTTCGCTTCCACGCAATTCATTTAACCACGGAGGTGGTGTAGCGCTCTTCGTAAAAGAGAACACTGGTAACCAGGTTTTATCTGCTGCATCTATCAGTGATGATGTTATTGAAGCCCTTTTTATGAAGCTTGATTGTAACCTGATAATCGGTGAAGTGCACTGCCCTCCCAGCTCAAATAAAGCATCTTCCTTGTAAAATTTGAGTCTGTCCTTGCAAAGACATCTCATGAATATAGTGGTAGCATTTTTGTTGTTGGAGATTTTATTATTGATTTAGCTGGTGATGCTCAAAACGACTACACGCTTCTTCTGGAATAATTCAACTTACACAATCTTATATATGAATTTACTCACATTACTAGCCTAATATGTTAATTAACCATGCCCTTGGTAATAATGATATGGGTGTGAGTGCTGGGGCTTACTCTGACCAAGTAACCGAACATTTGTCTTTTTTTATTGCAGTACAAAGACAACTGCCAAGCACTGTCGAACTTTTCCGTACAGAAGCGTGTACCAAAATAAGTTATGCTCAACTTCGAAGCGTACTAGGACAAACAACTTTTTATGCCACATATGATCCTAACAACCACATAGCATACCAAAACTTCAACACTACTCTTAAAAGTGCAGTGATCCAGTGTGCTGTAAAGCAGACTTTCCATAAATATAACATACCGGTCTGTCCTTGGATGACGAGCAAAATTCTAGGGGTATTGAAAGAAAAAGATAGTTGGTACCATAAATGGAAGCAACATAAAAGCAACAATCCTAGGCCAGTTTAGATGCTTGAGAAATAAATCAGTCTCTATGATGACAAAAAGAAAAAAAAAGAATACTAGTCCTCACTTATTGAGCAAGCTGATGGGGACATAGTAAGTGATGCAACTGCCCTTCGCTCAAATAAACATGTGCTTCCTGATTTCATAAAACAGGAGGCGGTTGATACCTTTAGTTACCATTTTACTAACATGGGGCTTCCCCTAGCAGCTCAACTGCCACAGGTTTCTGATCCCCTGCAGCCACTGAAACTAGCCACAAATAGCTTCGTCACGAAGGAAATTGAAATGGCTGAAATTATATCAACAGTTGTAGAGCATCTGAGTGAGTAAAATGGCTGGACTCCACACAATTCCTGTTAAATTAGTAGAAGATAACATTGATATTTTAGGTATTCATCTTCTATATATGTTCAATCACTCAGTAGAGAGCACAATCCTATGAACTTATTAAGGTAGCTAAGTGCCTGTGTTTAAAAATGGAGATCCTTCCGAACCTTCAAGTTATAGACCAATATCAGCTAGTTTTAAGTATAATTAATATTATACTTAAAAATTTTCTTTGTAGGCAAATAAAAGATTTATAAATAGGTACAATATGTTTTGCCCTAATCAAAATGGTTTCAGGCAGAATCGATTTATCTCCTCTGCCATTCTTGTTTAAACCCAACTTCTTAAGAAGGCTCTTCGTGACAATAAGATTGCTGTGGTTGTATTTTTCGATGTAAAGAAGGCTTTTGACACAGTTAGTCACGCCGCACTACTGAATAAGTTACATAATTATGGCTTTTGTGGCAAAAGGTCCAAACTGTTCAATAGTTATCTTTCCGATAAAAGACAATCTGTGGTAATTCATGAATTTATTTCTACCCCACGAACTACGTTAATTGGAGCCAATCATTTTTTTCCCTTTACGTCAATGACTTCCCATTGTTATTAAAATACTTAGATGCATTAATGTAAGCGGAGGATATGGCACTGGTTGTTGTAGCAATGTAAAATAAGTAAGGAGCTTTCCAGAGTCTTAATAATGGTTCACAAGTAATCAACTTGCCCTTTATATAAAACAACTACTAAGTACACAGTGCTTCACTCAAGGAAAAAGGAAATAAACTATGACGAGTCTTTTTATCTGCTTAGATAATACAGAGTTGAATCATGTTTCTTCCTACAAATATTTAGGAGTTCTTTTTGAATCGGAAATGAATTGTAAAAGCCAAGTTAAAAACACATGTTCAAAGCTAGCATACAGATGTTATACACTATTGAAGGCACGTGAATATATTTACTCTTTCATTTTGCAAACATACTATATTTTTTTACTTGTGCAGTCACCTAAGTTATTGCATCGAGTCCTGGGACTGTATGTATCCTACCTACCTGGATCCAGTTATTCGTCTGCAGAAACGGGTGCTCAGAATAATCACATTCTCAAAACCCACTGACCCAAGTAGACATTTATGTAAGCAAATGCGAGTTTTATCCGTATATTCTTTGCATAAATTAATGCTAGCTCAAACTGTTCATAAAATCATAGCATCCAAATGAACCATTCTCATTAAGTTTGTTTAACTGTTCGAGCAGGCAAACGAGGGCTGCTACCAATCTTAACTTCAATTTGCCTCCACGTCAAAATATGTATGGTCAAAGACTAATAGAATATAAAGGTGCATTAATTTGGAATTCAATACCCACTGATGTAAAACAAAAATCCAACTTCTTGTCGCTGTTAAAAAGTTTGTTTGATTTAAAATAAGATTTGTGCGAACGACCTCAACACTTTATTAGGTTAGTAATATTTTTGTTTCTTGTTTTATCTGCCGCCAGTCGCAATTTAAATTTGACTTTTATTTAGACCCTGCACTAGCTTCAAGGCTATGGGCTCAATCAATTTTTGCGTATTTGTAAAAACAAAATTTTAAAATAAAGAAAAATTTAATTGATTTCGACTTTTCTTGGTCTCAGAATTGATGCAATAAAGCAGTGCAAAGCTTGGACATTATAAACAATAATAATCTCGTTTAAACAAAAGTCACAAAGCGAAACTGAAACCTTGCCCGTGGCAGGCAACATTGGTCCTTCCTGTCAACTACTGGATCTCACGTGGTACAGAGATGTCGGCCATGTCATCAACGAAAGCGTGACGGCGTTGTTGACCCGGCACAATTGCGCAGCGGCAGTATCACGGAAATGTGCTTTCTTCCTTCCCTGTCCCACGCTCTCTTTTTTATCTTTCACCCTCACGCTCCGCGCCTCGAAAACTAATAAACAAACAAAACAATTCTTCCACTTGTTTACGTTCTGCTCACTGGTGGCTGCGTCCACACACCGGCATTGACTGCGCTGCTCCACGCGCCACGCGTCGCCCGCTAGATTGGCCGGATTTTGGCGACCGTGAAGCCGCTCCGACTTCGTTGGCCGGTTTAATAAACTTTCAGGCGGAAATGCGACGTAATATTTTACGTGTAGCCTTTTCAGGTGATACGGCGTAAGACTGCGGTGTTTTCTCAACATCGAAATTTGACCGAAGTTGCCCTTTAAAGAGCCCCAAAAGGTCAGGCACGGTATCAGAAGACACAAGGGGTGTGACTTGCCTCCGACAGCTTGAGCGTCGCAATGATGGACTTCTGGTTGTAGTTCCACTGCAGGCACTTGACTCCCATGCTCTTCCGGACTTGGGAATTGAATCCGTCAGCTCCCACCTGAAATTCTTTGCAAGGTTTAGGCAGTGGGAAGTTACGGTAATCTATCTACCTTGAAATCAAGAAGAAAGAAAACACTGAAGTCTTCTGGTTCGCAGTGGTATAGCACCCAAAGACACCGATAAATCTGGGCCAAGTACTTTTTTCATGAAACGGTGGAAAGCGCTATACAGAGGAAATCAGACCAAATGCTCAATGTTTATGACAGTTTTATTCCTGACCAATTGGAAATTACTGTCAATGGAATTTAGGCAGTCACAATAATGCTTACTGTTTAAGACTACAGGATCAGGAAGACTGAAACAACCATTGAGACTTTTTTATATGTAGTCATGCCACTTAGCTTGCTTTTGTGCCATGCTACATCCACCTTTACATCATTTTATAATTATTCAAAGTGCTGGAGTAGTGACCAAGCAGTATGAACAAAAAACAATATCTCCACTACATCGAAAAAATTTTAGAAAAGTGTAATATGCCATATCATGTAATAAATTAAATCTCATGACCAGAGCCTTCAAATTTCAGTGAAACTAACTTTTACACGTTTTTGGAGCGAACAGTGTTTAGTTCAATTACAATATAACCTTTCGAAATTATATTGACCAATGCACATACTTACGTTGATATAGACTCATCATCAGCGCTATATGTGTTGTGACTATCACCAAGAACTCTACTGCGAGTAGAGTGCTGACTGTTATGCGAATATTCAATATTTCAAATAGCTTTTCGAATAATACACAATTCGATATTCGCTACGAGACAAACTTTGATATTCATATTTTTTTTACGTGTCGATTGCGGCGGGTTATCCTTGTTGAGTGCGCTTTTTACCGAGCACGAGTGCACTGCGGAAAAGCAACACCCACAAAAGCGAACGCCGCGGGTGTTGCTCCTCCGCAGTGCACCAGTGCTCGCTAAGAAGCGCACTCCACAGGGTAACCCGCCGCGATCAACACTTGGAAAAGTATGAATATCGCAATTGCATGCTTGGGAAAAAAGCACACTTTCAAATCGGGATAGTGCATGCCTGCACCTGGTGTATTTAAAAAGAAACCGAAACTTTGTAAATTTTAATATCTACACTGAGGTAAAATTATCAAAATTAAACTGTGGCTGCTATGCAAGAATAACTGTTAGTCAGAGATGCCCTGCTAACCTGCAATCATCATTTGTGATTTTTTTGTTCAAATTTGAGATTGAGGAAGAAAATATTCTCATATAGCAAAATTTATGAATACACTTAATTAGGTATAGGTGGGCATCTTGGTTTAATTTTGTGTAAAATCCGTCATTTACTTGCCATCCCAAGGCAGTGGACTTTCTGAGGTCACAGTCCATAACTGTAGTTAGATTAAACTTATCTTATAAATAAACAAGTAGGAGCTTTAGAACAACCTTCACAAGTTTAGATGTGTCCTGCAACAGTAGTGAAAGACTCGGAGAAACTATTTGATATTCAATTCAAAAATATTTGGCCAGAACCACATACAAAGCGCTTTAACTCAAAATTAGCTATTCGCACATGACTAGTACCGAGTCAAAATAAAACGGTACAAGCATCGTTTTAGTATTGAAAAAACTAAGTTGATAGTCAGCAAGCAATACACCTACATGTCATGGGGTGAAGGCCAACGAGCAGCCAGAAAGGGGAAATTCCCTCAATTCTTTCTTTCCATTCGAGAAAGAGGGAGACCCTCCTCCTTTCTGCGGGGAGTAGCTCAGAGACATGCTCCAGAGGGGAGAGGAGGAGAGAGAAGTGCAAAAGGGAGTGGAGAGAAGGAAACTGGGAGCTGGTTGTCTGCCTGGCAGAAGACGAGTATGGATGTCGGACTAGAGTCACTGAATGTTCCCAGAATACCAAATTCCATTCAGTCCGCTCATCGGAAGTTAATCCCGCAGAATCCAGTTCTGATTGACTGGTTTAGCCCGTGGCGGGAGTTATCAGTCAGCCATTTTGTGGATCCGCCCAAAACAACAAACGACGCCTGAAAAACGTTTCCGCGTTCCCACGGCTACGGCGGGTACGCATGGGTGGGAGCATTGCATATCGATGAGTTAGGATTGAACGGTGTGGAAACCACAAGTTCCCCGCACCCCTATCTAGGCCTAGCTCAGGCAGGCCGTGGGGGGTCGCCATGTGGGGGCGCGTCCCAGATGCGAAGGCGAAGCCGTATTCCCTTGTGGATGGCTTTCCCTCGCCCTTCTCGGGTGATTTGCCGAAGGCACAGCCCTCGGGATCATGAGTGGATGCGTCCGCCCCCCCTCGGGGAGCCAACCTACATTTGACCCACCCCGGATGCGTCCATTCCCGCAGGCTGTATAAAACGGCCCTAATCCAACGGCCGGGACTCTCGCTGGGGGAGGCTCTGCTCGACGGGGCCTTCCTTTCTTTTACCGATCCTCCCCCTTCGTGATACTGTCAATAGCGGCAGCGCGGACTCCGACTGGCGATCCTGTCAAAAGAGACAGCGCCGTCATCTCCACTACTGTTGGCCCTCGGGCAAATGTGTGGCGTTGCCGTGAAATAAACACATCATTATCCGAACCAAAGGAACCTACTGTGTTTCTAAGTGGTAACCCTTAAAGGGGAAACCCACAACGGACGGTGCAAGGTTGCCGGCTCGTTTGCTCGCTCTGGTTGCGCTGTTGCTGCGTTTCTGACTCTACGTCTCAGACGCTAAGCCTAACACTCGACTTCGATGTGTTTTGAGGCGTGAGAGAGAGACGAGACAGTGAGGAGCAAGTCACGCATTGCTCGAAACGAAGGAAAGAATTTTAATAAAAACAAACCAGCGTCGCCACAAACCAGGGAAGTGGATTGAAGAGCTCGCACGAGAACGTACGCCACACGGGTATGCACTTCGCTTCCACCGCACAGGGCAGCGCCATATGGGGATCGATACTGCTGCACGGCAACTCAACTCTGAAACGAAGCTTGGGGGTTTCTGCACCCTGGGAACATTCAGTGACTCTAGGTCGGCTTTCAGGGAGAGCAAATGCAGCCGTAACTGGAGACATTGGTAAGAACAATGTTACCTTTGAGCTGTAGTAAGTATAACATAATTACTTTTTAAAAGAAAATTTACGGCTCCGTCGTGAGCCTCCGGCGCCGGTACAATGCCGAGATGCGTCCTTGACTGGTCTGTTTACCGTCCTGCACCATCCGCACGTCTAAAGTGCTCCCAAAGTGGCAACCAATCGCGTCGCAAAAGCCAGCGTGCCACGCTGTCGAATGCCGTAATCCTGGCGATTGGCCAGGGAAACGCCAGCGAAAAAGGAGAGCGGACGCAAGGAACACCGTCGTCGCGGTGTCCCGTCTCGCGTCTGCTTTGGTTTCCCCCGACTGTCTGGCTGCAGAGGAACCTACCGCAGAACAGGCGTCTGCTGTATCTACCTCCACTGCCGTGCCATCTCCGGAATGGCGGCAGGGGACAGTACGACACTTTTGTGATGTCACCGGGTGGAAACAGAGGGACCACTTTTGAGGACGTCGGCGACCGAGACACCGAGAGCGTAGAGTGAGCGTTGCGAACGCCGAAGAGGGCAAACATGGAAGCTCCCTCACGAGAAGCGACGTCTCGAAGAAGCCGCGGTCTCCGTGTAGGTGGATCCGCACGGGAGGGCAGGGGTCCATGGGGTGCCTCTGCCCCAGGCACGGCAGCTCGTAGCGAGAAACCTGGCACGGGGTAGAGGGGAGCGGTGTCGCACGGGTCATTGGCCACTCTTCGAGTCGCACTCGCCACAACCAGGAGAAATGATTTCCCCAATGACTATGGTCACCGGCAGAACGAGAACAGCAGGGTGTGTCGTCCGAACGCCCGGCCTACAGCACGCGCTCCTTGCCTTCCATTGTGCTTTGGCTGCGCATATGCGCACAAAGATGCCAAAGGGCTGTCAAAGGTCAGCCTAAGGCGAGATGAGAGAAACCTCCCCCTGCCGTTCTTGCCTCGTTAGTGACTATGCCCATGCCTGAAGGACGTAACGTGTGGGGAAAACAAAAAAGGAACATTGATGTGCTGAATGATGAAAATAATCCCTGGAGAAGGGGAACAAGGGGGACAGAGGACAAACACAAATCTCCAAACACAGCTAGGTGACTAGTGCGCGACCGAAAAAATCCGCCTGGTCCGGGTATCGAACCCGGGACCTCTCCATTACAGGTGGAGCGCTCTACCAACTGAGCTAACCAGGGGTTAGACGTCAGTAGAGCAAACGAGTTTTATCAGCTGCCACCAGTCGAACACCAACAAGGGTGAAGCTTGCAATTTAAGGTTATAATTATAATGCAATTAAATGCAAAGGCGCAAGCGAGCTGGACAAGAATGATGAAAATAATCCCTGGAGAAGGGGAACAAGGGGGACAGAGGAAAAACACAAATCTCCAAACACAGCTAGGTGACTAGTGCGCGACCGAAATTTTCACCATTCTTGTCCAGCTCGCTTGCGCCTTTGCATTTAATTGCATTATAATTATAACCTTAAATTGCAAGCTTCACCCTTGTTGGTGTTCGACTGGTGGCAGCTGATAAAACCCGTTTGCTCTACTGACGTCTAACCCCTGGTTAGCTCAGTTGGTAGAGCGCTCCACCTGTAATGGAGAGGTCCCGGGTTCGATACCCGGACCAGGCGGATTTTTTCGGTCGCGCACTAGTCACCTAGCTGTGTTTGGAGATTTGTGTTTGTCCTCTGTCCCCCTTGTTCCCCTTCTACAGGGATTATTTTCATCATTCTTGTCCAGCTCGCTTGCGCCTTTGCATTTAATTGCATTATAAACATTGATGTGCATTTTTTTTTATTTAATAGTTTATTGGTTTTGACGTCAAACATGTAGTTTATTACGACAGGAGGAGGGCGAAATTGACTTGCAGTAGAACCTCTCAAAGTACAGGATGCGGGGGAGGAAATTTCGCAGAAGCCTGGTCATGCTGACAAAGATTAGGGCCCTATGCTACACGGCACGACCAAGCGGAACCAAGGCACTGGGGCAACGTTGTCTGCAGCGATTGGTCAGCACCGTGCCGCAGACCAATCGCAGTTGACAGCGTTGTCGTCGTCTCTTGGTCCCGCCGTGTAGCATAGGGCCCCAGGGAGCACGAAATGTGTCCCACACAAACCACGCACACTTTTTGTTTTATATGCAATATTTATTTTTTATATTTATTTTTAATTTTTTTTTCGATCCCTCTCTAATACCTTTTCTTACCTTTGCTTCTACCTTTTTATTTTCTTCCCTCCCTCCCCCGCTAACCTTAACGGGGAAGCTGGATCGATGTAGAGGTCACGTGATATCAATTCCCCCTTTAACATAGCGGGGACACTGCCTTGTGTAACGCTCCCCCCGTGTCACTCGTTCGTGACGCATGTTCGTGATGCTCCTTCTCATAGAAAAGAACCCAGAAAACACACTCTGCGTTAAAATATAAGCACTCGGCTCATTCTATTTATCTTCACCAGCCTTCGCCAGTGCAGAAAAGTACACTGTGGTGCAGAAAAGTGCGGGGCACCGTACTTCTGGCAGTGTTTTGAGATGGGGCCGCGCTCGTGACTGGAATACGCACGCCGGGAACGCACCTTGACTCCTGAACAGACGCGCACCACCTGGGACGGGAGCCGCGCCAGGCGCCGATAGAGGGCGTCGGCCAGGTTGCCCATGTCCACATCAAAGGCCACATCTCCCGTCGCCGTCCGGCCGTCGAACGTGATGCGCGCCTCCGAGTGCGACTCCCACACCTGCAACAGTCGCCGTGCGTCCCACTCCCCATATCACGACCTTCCCACGTACGCGTACGTCGGTGCATCCAACCATTCACACGATCCATGGACGAAGTACGCTGCCCGGAACGCGTCTCCGACCTGAGTGTTCAGCCTCCTATTCCACCGCGCGTCAAAAGCGGTCCCCAAGTGGCGACAAAAGACGTTGCAGAAGCCGGAGCGTCACGCCGTCGGATGTGGGGATCCTGGCGGTTCGTGCTAGAAGTCCCGGCAAAAAGTGTGAGCGAACAAGCGTCGCTTTCGTCGCAGCGCCCCAACGCCTGGCTGCCGAGGCGTCTATGGACTTTCGGGCTGAAGAGCGACGCGCGGCAAAACAGGCATCGTCGGGCGACGGAGTGACGCTTCTACGATGTTGTGGGGTGGAAATCGAGAGACTGCATTATAGGATGCGGTAAACACGTCAGTCGGAGATGCGCTCCAGGCTTGATGGTCTGGAAACTTCAACAGTTTCTGCCCTGGTAAATGGTGTCCTCGTACGCAGCACTAATCCATGTAACAGTAAAAAAAAAAAAGTTGTTTAAAAAGTGTTTGGTAATTTTTTTAAAAGCGGACGTAGCACCCTTCACGTGGCATTTCAATTATAATCTAAAATAATATGAGACCTAGGTCTCGAGTGCAGGTAGCGTTCCCTGTCGTCCATCTGGGGTTCTGTGAAAGAGTAGACGTATCCAGGAGTGATGAACCGAATCTGTCGAACTTCAGATTCTGCAAAGTTCGGCACATGACCAACTTTTGAAGAAAAGATCGGCAAAGATTCGGCAAACGTTAGTGCACGCACGAGAACGAGACGAGCCATGGATTGGAAATGGACGCCATGCGATCGTGCAGTTACCAACGTACAGTGTGATACTACCAGCGGTTACGGCAAGGTGCAGAGTAAGCGACATGGTAACTGTGTGTTTGTCAGCCTTTGTGAGTGTGGTTCTCTTCAATATTTTTTGCCTGAAAAACAGAAGATCGTCCAGAAATTAACACACTTCATTGCACAAGTGACAAATGATGCGGTACATTCTGGATAACGTGATTTTCATTTGATCTTTCCAGTGATGCAACGAGGTGGTTGCAACATTGACCAACAAGTACTTTAAAGCACTCCTCACAGCTATAGCAATCCTGTTTTCGGCTCAGAATTAGTTTGTGGCAAAGCAAAATAAGATTGAATTTTAATTCGCATTATTTTGTAGTTTTCATCTATCCGCATAAAACTAAACACAGAACTATCTTGCTTGACGTTGCACATCCGACATTCCTAACTCTTCCCATCTTCCTAAACATCTGTGTGTGTTTTAACATCAGAAACCGGCACTTTAAAAGTTAATAACAAGACGTTGCAAATATGGAATGCACACTTTCATACAAGGCTGGCGTCAAGTGACTCAAATAAAAAAACATCCATATTTACAATAATATCACTACCCTTCTGGTGAAGGCCCAGTGCAATTGCGTTCATTTTCACGCACGAAACGGTGACTCGCAGGAAAGTAAGAACAGTCTTACCGCCTTTGCTTTAACAATGTATACACGCTTGCAAGTTTGCGCTGATGAGAGTTCAAAACCAAAACTTGCGTATCGTGACTGCGCCCGCTACCACCCAACCTCGTTGTCACACCGCCTCTGCAAAACGTCACTGTAAAATTGCCAGTGAACACTCAAAATGACACTGAGAGAATTAGCTTGTACAATAACACCTTACTTAGTAATAACTATGTCAATATGCATTGAAAAACAAAATCTTTTCTCGAAAAATTGAAATATCAACTTTTAAGCCTGGCAACAATGTATTTTTGCCGAATCTTTGCTGAACCTTTAGAAAAGTTTGGCAAAACTTTGATTCAAATTCGGCACCAAATTTTCAATTCGGCAAAAGTCCAGCCCATTTCTAGTATCCAGCGACTTTCTTTCCGGTGGCTTTTCATCATAGTGACATTCAGAGCTGTGATGCAACTATACTGAAAAGCATTTAAGGTACTATGCATGATTATAGCTACAATTTTAAAAGACTAAATCCTCTCCAAGTTAGTGCATCTTCATTAACCACACATTTTCTGGTGTAGCTTCAGCTAAGCTAATTACGGTCACTTTCCCAAGTCGCATGAGCAAATAGACAAGTTTACATTGATTTAGGCTGAACATCAGCGTTGCACATTGTCACTGCCTCAAGCACCAACCTTAACACGCAGCTTTGTTACTATTTACGAGCAAATGCGACTGGATACAGCTGTAAAAACACAACCGTATTTATAGCTCACCTGCATGCGTTTGATGGCCTGAATCTTGGACTTCGGAAGCATGTCCCAGACGCCAAGACCTGCCAGGAATGTTGATAAGCAACTTGTACAATTCCATCAAATGATACGCCAACTGAAACACACCAAACATTAGAAAGTCACTGCCTGCAAGTCATACAGAGTTAACCCTTTGAGTGCCTTCCTATTTTGTCCCCATATGTCAAACACAAATTTTGGTCCCATGCAGAAAAACTGTAGCATGCTTTATGAAGTATATCTATTTATCAAAGACACTATCTATGGACTCAAAGTAATTGATGTCTGCATCCCTCTAACCTAGAATATTTTTCTCGAATTATACTTGTCGAATTGGAACAGAGTGTGTGCTGGTCAGGATAACATAAAGGATGGGAATTAAGAACATAAGACACAAAGACGGACAGACGATGCTTGTTTTATGTTTTTCCCATTATTTATATTATAGACCTTTTCATCTCAGTAGTTACCCAACCGGCGGATAGAGGGCACTGGCACACTCACTGCCATTGGGCGACTTTAATGTGGTTGATTTCGGTTTCAGCGCGCTTGCGGCTGTCTTTGTTTTATGTCATTTTCGCCTAATTTCTCGATAAAAATGTGTCCGTTATGGCGCACAACTAATAAAACAGCCGTAGTGAACCACCCCGAGAACCACGAAATGGTTTCAAGTCACAATTGCTGACGTTTTTTACTAACACTTTACAATGTATCTGGTCTTGTTCATTGTTAATTTTGGTCAGGTAAGGCAGCGAAATATATGATGCGCAAGGGGGACTTCCATCGTCTATGGCCGTACCCACTGACCGCAGTTTCCAAAAAAATAATGAAGACACTAAAGCGTACATGTATAGTAGAAAATGCAGGTCTACAACCTGATTATAAGCCTGCTGAATCGCGAAAAACACATGAAGCCGGAAGTTCACTGCTAACTGTCCGATTTTTGCGGACACTATTTTTTTGTGAACTCTAGAGATAGGATATGTGTCCTATAATAATGCAGATATTCTAAAAAAAGAATAAGTGATATTGTCGGGTGGGAAATTTCTTTAGCCATTGGCCCGGGCTAAAGGGCTCATTAAAAGCATTTCACAACGTTGGCAATGGGAAATAAACTACTTGTTTGACTGAGATATGATTACGATTACGACATACTCAGCATATGAGATAAGTGACAGGCCCGTCAAGTGATGTCTTGAAATTTTGTGTTTGCATAAACTTGTCCAAATGAAATTAAAGGGCTCCAGAGGAGTGACCTCCCGTTCGTTTGGCTAAAGTTGAATGGTAGGCACCGCTTTATGCGCCTGTGTAGTGTCACCACCGCGGTGGCCCTGCCGTCGGCTCTGTGCACGGGCCGACGCTTCTCCCAGATATGGTTTGTGCACACTAGCAGTGCCCACACCCGGTTTAGGCAAAAGAGGACTTGTTTCTGAACGGCACGTTAGTGAATACTCTGGGGTGGTGCTCAGAGTGCTAAGCCATGGCTCAGTTTGAGTTATGACAGGTTCCCAGTCCACACGTCTGCATTTGAGAGTGATTGAGCGCAACGAGAGAATTCGCACTGGCGTCATCTGTCAGGTGGCCCTAGACCACTTCAGATCTGTACATAACTAAAGATATTGCAGCATCTACGAGACCATCTCTACACACTATCCACGAGGAATGGTCGCTCATAACATTGTCAGAATTATTTCAAACCCACAGTGAAAGCATGATGTGCCATAAGGTGAAGAAATATGCACGTATCCAAAGAGTTCCAGAGCTGCCCAAGAGAAGGCGCAGTCGACACCACTCGGAGCGAGATGGGTGAACCAGCTTTAGCGCACGACTGCGACGTCTTAGCGACACCTTGCCTTGGAGAAAGCTCTTGCTGCCGGGTGTCAGGGCGTACACCCTGTTGCTCCAGTTCTCCTCATCGTGGTCAGAGCGCAAGGTGCGTCGATCAATCAGCAACACCCGCTTGTCGGAGAAGGCCTCTGCCGTACCTGCGCCGGACATTCAAAGGACGAAAGTATGAGAGGTCGATGCCAGCAGCGCTGCAAGATCTACGAGGGAGGTCTAACGATACAAGCATTTTACAAGTACCGACAAGAACTGCGCATTAGTATCACGTACGGTAAGGAAAAGGCTACTGTTGAGCAGTGTTAGAAGTGTAATATACTGTCGGCGTCAGAGTTGAGTGCTTCAGAAAGATGTTCGACTTCTCGTTTTAACAACGGGGGTGTTGTGCAGCCTATGCTCGAATCTCACTTGAAGTGGAAAGTGTGATCAAGTGTGCACCGAACCCGCGTTCTGACAAAGACTTGTGCATAAACAACAACTCAAACAGCGTGTCCAAAAAGAAAATTTACTGCCTTTTTTTCACTGCAAAAATTAAATAGACGTCGCCAAACACTCGTTCTCCGACTAAATGTAGTGTAAGCAGACCATACCAGATACCGAAATTTCAGCACTAACCGTCACCTTATTCAAAATAAGTAATTTCCTGAAGGTTTCCACGGGGAAATTGGGTACATTGTCACCCTTCTTCGGTAACTTGCGTCGTACAACTCCACGTATTTGGGAGCTCCGTCTGCCACCATTTTCGCACTGGAAATTTGAGAAAATCACTTGCAACGTTTTAATGAGGTAGCGGTTAGTTCTGAGACTTTGGCATCTGATTCAAACCACTAGCGTTACAATCGGGCTGAGAATAAGCATTTGGCAATGCATAAGTCATTTTTGCGGTGAAAAACCCCTGTAAATTTTTTGGTGGGACACCCCGTACTTTATGCGGAGAGCAAGTCGTCTGCTTCTTGAGCTGGGGTTGTGGTGACATCAGAACAATGCCAATTCTGATTGGCATTGATTGGAAGGATTGGGCAGGAGATCGAACTATAGGGGTCGCTCTGACCCGTTTGTTTTCCCCACGCTTGGTGTTTACTCAACTCAAGGCCTGTGCACATGCCGACAGGCCTTATGGGCATGTCCATGCCATCTTCTACAATAGAGCGCGGGGCACAGTTTAATGTAAAAAAATACTAACAATCGACGAAGCGAGGTTAAGTGCCGGATCTATCCTCAGAGAATGCGAGCTTGACCCACTTCGGCTTTTGTGCTGAGCTGGGACCGTGCATGCTGCATTGTTCATGCAGGCCATAGTGGAAACAAAAGAGCCCCTCCTCCCCCTCACCGGAGAACACGAACTCCAGCCGAACGTTGACGCCGCGTTCGGTTATGTTGGCCGAGCGCTGAGTCATTGTATTTGTTGTCCCCATCCGTGTAGTTGTAAATTTAACCGCTTGGGGCGTCACGGTCTGTCCTCCTCCCCAATAGTGGGTAGACCTCAATGCAAGGTGTCTTGAGGTCTACCCACTATTTTTTTCGATCAGCCAATAAGAACTCGGCGTTTTGACATCATCGCAACCCCTGTGGAGGAAGCAGACGAACTTGCAATGCGCTCCTGAGAAATTTCCCGGAAACTAAAAAAGCACAAGAGCGGTTTGATATGATTTTTCCTGCGACACCAACCGCACGACGTGAAATATTTGCCAGTTCCGTCCAGTGAAAGTTCTGAACATAGTAAACGCAGAAGTGCTGCGGCGCGGACGGTGGATGCGACGCACGCGAAACATTAGCGGTAGCACTGTGCCAACTGCAGCAAGTTTGCTAGCCTTGTTCCGTGCTCGAACGTTGTCCGATCTCCCCGTTTACGTCGGTAGTAATAGTAAGAGCAACGTTTATTTTGGTTCGAAAGAGCTGCGGTATCGTAGTCTTCGAATATCTCACCGAGCGCGCAGGCGAGAGCAGCGCCGGCAAGACCAGCGCCCGAGATGACCACGTCCCACTTCTGCCCGACCAGGGCATCCACTTCGTCCTCGTCGCTTTCCGAAGACGCGTCGCCGGCCATGCTGCTACAACTCCGCCCGCCTCTGCTGGTCACGCTCAGTAGCCGCGTCAGTTTGAAAGGCAGCAGCGAGGCCGCCAGACCTCGACTCAGCGCCGGCATGGCACGCACGCCGGGAGGTTTCCAAATCGAAACAAACCTAACTCTCCTTCAAACTCGGCTTTCTTTTCTTTGTATTTTGTATCGTGCAAGAGGTCATGTGCAGAGGAACTGCTGAGCGTCTCAAGATCTAAATACGCCAGTTAGTATCGATTACATATGAGCATTTGCGGTAGCGTTCGTAACACCACGACCCATAAAGACAGCTCAACCTTTACAACCTACAGGAGCGGCCATTTAAACAATATGAGAAACACACAGAATAATATAGTTTTCGGTTCAACCTTTATCATAAATAAAAATAATATTTAATTAATATTAAAATTTTTTATTGAAACGCATCGCGCATTTTATTTCTCAAGAAAATAGACGTTTAGTTTGCTGCGGTCTCGCACTTGTTGCTATGGTAACCAACCGATGCATTGCGTCTCCTGCCAACTCCTGCGTCCCGCCAGCGCTCGCGCTATTTAAACCGTAAACGGGCATCGTTAGACGACTGTACGACTGACGACAGTACCAACAGTGGCACGTTGACACTGGGAGGCACCCGTCCTGGTCCTGTTCAGTTTTCCGACGGCCATGCTGCCTTCCCGCCGCCCGAGCGACAACCTCGGCTACGGAAGGATGAAGCTGACCGAACGTCGCCGCCTCGTGCTTGGCGACGTTCATATTTCGCTCGAGACACGAGGGGAGCTACTCCGACGCATCGACGAGATATACGCCCAGCTGTTGGCGCTGACCAACGGGGACGGTGACAGTACAAAATTGAACGGCGCTGCGGCACCCTCGGCCGCTAGTCTCTCGCCCCCACCAACTGAGGACAGCGACGGGCCCTTCGACGGCGACGCCACCCTGGTTCCGAGTCCTCCACCCCTGGAGCCGAAAGGTCCTTCCCCCGTCCCTGGTACATCTACGGGACATCGTGACGTTCTGGAGACGTCCAGGGGACCTTGTGTGCCGTCTGGGCCCGTTCCGAGGACTCGGACTCGAAGCACCGGTCGCAGATGTGAAGGCAAGCAGGCGGCGTAAGTGACTCTCTCCCAGAGGTAATGCATGGTTCGATAGGCGCCTTGGGGGCGCCAATAGGACATTGACATTGGGTTGTTCTGAATGTATACGCTCGCAATGTATACGTTGTTGAAGCTGATGAGCTAGCTTGCTCTCAGAAGCAACGAACTATCTCATCTGTGGCCGCAGTAAATACATGTCTTTAATTCAAAATTTAATTTTTGACGAATTTTTGTTATTATTGATTTGGCACGTTTGCGGTTCCCTTTGCTTCCCACAGGGACGGCGCCCCACCCGTTCCTGCTGGTGGCACGGCTGCGCAAGGAGGTGGGGTCCGTCGAAAAGAGGCACGACAGCAGCCGCAGCGCGCGCCTTCTGCGGAGAAGAAAGTGGACGCGGCCCGAGGGACCAGTGTGCCGTTCCGCGCCAAGCCTCTCCCGGTCCGTATCCTCGCCGACTCATACAAGCAGCAGAAGAGAGCCGAGGAAGAAGTGAGGCAGCTCAGGTCCAAGGTATGCATCTACTACTACTTCATATTTTCACTGAATTGGTGGTACCTCTCTTCTCTTGGCAGAGGAGGGGGCTGACTGGTTAACACATATATGTTAACGCATCGGAGCACGGGTAGCAAAAGCTTTAGTTGCAGAACCCAGACATTCTGGGCTCGATCCCTGCCCGTTTCAACCTGGACGGCCAAGCGTTGTACCAGTGTGTGGTAGTGTATTGCAACTGTGTGATGCAGCATTTGACTCCAAGCTAAGGGTGGTACCGCTCTGGCAACATTTTATCTGCAGTGAAGACGCTGGGTGTTCATTATGGCTGACTAACTTCCTGCTGTCTATACATGCATACAATGAATCCCGATGGGGAGCATTTTAAGGAAAGTTTTAAGGCCTTGCACATATTTATTTTCTACAATTTGCAAATGTTGGTGTGTGGTGGGGGTGGTGGGGGAGGTAGGTGTTTTGATCATTGCAAGAACAGGTTAGTATGAGAGGGTGTGCTGCTACAAATGTGGGATAAGGCGGTGAACTCTCATTTCGTATCGAAGATCCGTTGCATTGCTGTTGTCTCGGCGCATTTTTAGGCATCAGTTTCTTTAATAAAAAAAAAGTCTTGCAATGCTGTTATAACTTAGCCCATACTCGTTGAGCATAGAAAATTCTGAGCAACCAGTGCTGATTCTCCTGGCACAGCACTGCATGCCCATTTTCGCAATAATATTGAAATAAGTACTTCTTACAGCAGACATGAAAAATGGCATTGCACGTACGATGTGCACGCGCACCGGAGCGCCTTGGCGAACCATCGGTGTTTCTAGCAGGCTTAATTTATTACACTCGTGCTTGTTCCCTTACAGGAAGTGTGTCGACTATAGGGGTCGAACCTCAAACCTCTTTGCACGTATTGCTGGCTCGGTATTTTAGATGCAAAGCGACATCGGATCTCCAGATGGCAGGTTCAGACACCGGTCAAGCCCACTTTCGGACGGGCTTTTTGCAAAGAATTCTCCGTGTAACCGAGTTTTCAGTTGCACGTTGAGAGATCCCCAGGTGGTCGGCAATGAATCCTTCGAAACGCTGGAGCATTGTGGGTTTGCCCCGTGAACTCCACTTTTAATTGTCGCTGCATATTGAAAGCGTTGTAAAATGACAGGTGCATTACAGATCCGTCGCCGTCTCTGCAGGCATGGGCCAAGGAAATGCTGAGGTGTGCGGCGATGCCTTTCTCCACCAGAAGGCCCATGTTCCAGCGGCAGTGCTCGGACCCCGTTCTAAATGTTCCTGTTCGCGAGACTCTCTCCAGACCTTCACGACGGGCACCGCCTGCTACTGACGTACTCCAGGGAGACTGCAGAAAGGCGAGGAGAAGCCGCAGCTGCCCCAAGCTCGACCAAAGGACTCTTCCTCCCGAGAGTCCAGTAAAACCACCATACATGAGCACGCCTGGGAAGATCAAGCCGAACACCAACTTGTTGCTTCGCCAGCAAGCAGCCCTGTAAGTGCACTACAGCTTAAGGCTGGTTCGCACGCTTGCAGCTGCTTACGGCAGAGTGCAATACAACTTTTTATCTCCCGGGTATCCATGGAACATTTGCGATTTCTGCAATTTCGAAACAATGTTGTAAATGGCTATGTCTTCTTGATAGTATGTATGTTGGTTCTCGCAAGTACAGCAAAACCTTTGCTCTAGTTAAATGCGTTTTCAGGGCCACCTGATAGATGGCGCCAGCGTGCCAGTGGGTTCCCTCAAGATCAGAAAAACTCTACCATAAGCGAACTTTGATGTCTGAACTGGCCTTTACGGCCAGATGTTGTAGAGTTGATTCGCGCATTTGACTTTGTGAGTGACCTTTGTGAGACTCTTTAGGACGAGGACATGCTGATGTTTTATCCCAGACCTAGTGCATTGTACCTTTGTGCGACTCGTTATGACGAGGACATGCTGAAGTTTTGTCCCAGGTCCAATATCTTCATAAATTTATTCACAATTTTTTTATCATAGGTTCGGAATAATCCTGACAATATTAAGAGTGGCAATTTTTTTTCATAGCGAAAGCATAAATTTAATCTCGCAAATAATGTAACACTTCCAGTGTAGTTCAAAAAATGTCTGCACATTGGGAGCTTTCCAGGATTACAGTAGTGGCATGGCAAGGGTTTTTTTCAGGGGTGTTTTGGATCATCTCAGAAAAAAGAGGGGGGGTTCAACCTTGAACCCCCTCCTCCTTTCCATCTACGCCGCTGCGCAACTACCCAATAGATAATGCCCATGTTTTCCCTCGTCGTAAGCAGTTGCCAATGCTGTCGTACACTCATACCCAAATCTGTGCCAGCCTCTAGAACATCCACCATGGGTAAAAAGAGAGCCTGCAACGCAGAGGGTTACAAATGGATATGAAAATGTGTCTGGATCCCGATGTTCATGCATGCACCCAGCCCTACCTATACGCGGTCTTGGTCGTACGTTTGTTTGCAGAGAGCGGCGGAGGGAAGAAGAAAGGCGAAGGGACGAGGAGGAGCAGCGGGAACGCGTCCGAACCCTCCGCAAGTCCCGGGTGGAGCTCCAGATGCGGGCCCTCGCGTGCCGCCTTTCCAGGCCTTGCAGCAGCGACTCCATCAGAGACAGGCTCAGGGCACATAGGTCGGTTAGGCTGTCGCTCCTCGAACTTGTCTTGTCGCTCCTCGAACCTGTCTTGTCGCTCCTCGAACCTGTCTTGTCGCTCCTCGAACTTGTCTTGTCACTCCTCGAACTCGTCTTGTGTGGCTGTCCTTCCAGGGTTCAATCGATGTCCACCAACCTGAGAACGTGTCAAAGGCTGCTTTTTGTGCGCTCTCGAATCTCTTCATGCTGCCATAGATAAGAAACTTGTTCCTATGCATGGGGACAGAATAGAAAGAAAACGGTCTGTTTGACGCTGGTCTCGTCAGATACGACGCTACATGTACACAAACCTAAAAGCTTCTTGGGGACGCACGCCGGAAAGTAGATCGGAAGAGACTCGCTACCGTCCGTGCGTGGCGGCATCAACCAGATGGTTTCTTTCCGGTTTTCTCCCTCTGCATTGGAATGTGTTTTTTCTTTAAAATTTGAAAAATTTGAGTATCCTAATTGGCGTACCTAACTTTGTCAAAGGTTTTTGCACTCGCTGCATTTATTTGTACTTCTTAATTTTTTTAATGACAGAATAGCGCTCTTGAATACCCTGGAGGCACGGTTTCCCCGCTCGTTCTGTATGTTATATGGTCCCATGTTCGTACACGTCTTGTCCTGTGACACATGTGTTTCGTGACGCATACATCTCGTGTCCTTGACCGTACGCATCATGCATATAGTGTCCTACGATTGTGGTCTAAAGGAAGGCCGTTTCACTTCCAGGATGGCAACCATGCAGCGTCTTGAAGACTACCGCCAAGAGCTCCAGGACATCCAGGATCGCGTGTCCAGCAATCCTCTGCTGGTGGAGAGACAGGCCCTGGTGAGTGGTGCTAGACACAGCTGCTCGCAAGAGCAGGAATTTGCCTATATAAATGCCTTGCGGTCCATGAAATATGGAGCATGTAGATCATCGGCAAAGGATCTGTTCTATACTCCGTTTCGCCCCTCCACGAACCTTACTGAACGCTACGAGCCATCGCATCCAATCCAGCACTGTAAACGTGTCGTGTGACACTGCACCCCACGTGTCGCTGCTCCCCTCGTAGAGGTCGTTGTACACTCGCGTACCCTTGAATTGGCTTCAATGGCTCGTAGCGTTGTCTGCGGTTCATCGTAGGGTGAAACTGATTTCACTGCAAATGTCATTGAGATGTATAGAGTTAACATTGCTTCTTGACAAGTCTTGTTGTCAAAGACTAGCGTATTCGAAGCTTCAAGACGCCCCAAAGTTTTGCTTGTGTTGAGGCCTATGCACATTCTTCATGCTGCAGTTATATTCTGCTTTAGAGTCGGGCTCTAACATTTGAGCATAGTTGTAAACCCGAGACTGGGGATACGGACAAGGGACAAAACACAGAACGACACGGACGAAGTCCGTGTCGTTCTGTGTTTTGTCCCTTGTCCGTATCCCCAGTCTCGGGTTTACAACTGTCTGTATCCCCTTGTCCGTATCCCCTTGAGACTTCGTCCGTGTCGTTCTGTGTTTTGTCCCTTGTCCGTATCCCCAGTCTCGGGTTTACAACTATGCTCAATTTACACCAGCTAGCCTGCACCCTCACCACTGCTTCTAACATTTGGATTTGAGCATGCTTGAGTGGCGCCATCTGTCGGCCACCCGACAGATGGCGCCACTTCTTAACTTATATTTTGTGCACCATTCATCCTTCGGTCATCATTTCGAACTAATTCTAAGACTGTTTCTCACAAATAGTGCATACATTTGATCTTGCGAAATCGCTGCAAAAGCTCAAGTCTCGTTATAGGTTCCAGAGCCTTTCGATGGACATAAACAAACCTGTACTAGTAAACCAAATTGCAAGTCGCAATAGTGTTTTTCCTCGAGTTGTAATATAGTACAGCTTGTTCCCCGTGGGTTAGTTTGATTGGGTGAAATGAATGCTGAAGCTCACACCAGCAATGAAACATGCAAAATACTGAGTTTTTCTAGACTATCTGCTCGAATGCAAGTTGTAGGGCATGTGATATCTCCCCACTAGTGAGCGCAGTAAAATGTAAATGCTGGTTTTGGCGAAGCCTTCCTTCGCTGCTTTCCTTTTTTTTTTTTAATTCTTTTTCAATGGCTTTTTGTAATTTGGCGTTACATGCCGAGCGTTTCGAAATGTGTTTAGTTTGGGTGCCTAAAAAATGAACGGCCAAGCTCCCTTTTAACGAGGCTTTAGGGATATCAGGCTTAACGATGCGTCACCAATATTCCAAGTTCCGGCAATGCATTTCTCCTTCGTAGTACGGAGCCCAACGCCTCCTGGAACACCAGTACGAGCGAAAGCTGCAGGAGCTGGGCCTCGACCACCACTTCCAAGAGTCCAAGGCAGCGCTGCACGTCCAAAGACGTAGGTCGGGGTCGCTGGACTCTCGCTCCGTGGCGTCTGGCTCATCCGCGGGGTCGCCACAGCGTTCCAGGAGAGAGGCGCCTGCCGCCGACCTCGATGCACGCCCTCGGAGTGCATCCTTGCGCTCTTCGGCCGCTTCCGACGAACAGAGCGACACGGAGAGCGCCCGCGGAAGTCACCCTGACCTCTCCTAAGCATCTGGAGAAAGGGAGAGTGACCGGAAGTCTGCGGTATCTGCGCCCAGTTCCAGCATCCGCACGACAGCTTCGACCTGATGCGGATCCCTTCGTACGATTTTAATTTAGTGATTTGAAAGATGTGTTTTTTTTTTTTTTGGGGGGGGGGGGGGTTGGTACTGGGATAGTTGTGTTCGCATTTTGTACTTTTTATTCTTTTCAGAGTACCCGGTTAAGCCTATTCGGGTGGTGAAACTAGTAAACAAACAAGTGCTGTATGCAACTTATTTTTAAATGACATAATTATGCAAAACTTCAAGCCTGTTTGTGAAGCACCCCATGCATGCAGCAGTGCAGGTAACGTACAAGGCCCGTTTGACTTGCTGTGATATTTTTTTTAATTCTTAGGTCGTGAAAGCTACACTAGCACGGTCTGTGCAGGTGATATACGGCCAGGGGGACATGGTATAGGGGATTGGTAGTCACGATGTGAAAGATAATTTAACTTTTCTTAATACCTTTCATTGGTCAAATACAAAACCTTTTACTTCGTGCAACCGAGAGGATGATTAACAAATTTGAGTTAATTATTCATGTATTGTGACGATTATACCCCTATATTAGGTCTTCCTGGCCATGAACCTTGCCTGCACAGACGGGATTACTGTATTTCGTTGTTTTTTTAGAAAAATCGGGACCCTCTAAAAATTCCTGTATCATGCGTTCCGTGTCCAAATGTTTAGAATGGATGTATGTAGACAAAATATATTTGCACAGTTCTTTTTTTTTTTTGTGCTTGACAAACATAATTAAGCTTATTTGGTGACATTGAACAGAATGTTCTGCACAAGTTTTTCTACAAATTTTAGCTGACATTTGGTGAACAAAGGTTTGCAACGGATGTACATATGTGCAGTATTTTTAAGTATAAAATTGATCTCTGTGCCTTTAGATTTGTTTTATCATGCGTATTTCTAAGTTAAATAACACTAATCTATTCTTCTATTGAGTCTGTTTTTATTGGGCCTATAGCCGACTGGCACAGGCATATATATACCTGTGACAAGCGTTTTGTAAAAATGGTGTTGGATGAGCAATTTCGCCGAATATGTGGAATAGGACATTTGCCTACGTAAAATTCCGTGCTATATGCGGCACCGGTACGTCTGAAAGCCCGTCCAAGCGGGAGACTTCAAAAACCGTAAGGCTATACACTCTGACATAAATTGTGTGGCAATCCACTTTCGTACCTTGCGAAAGTGGATTGCCGCACCTTTTGCGCCTTGTTGTGTCCTCTTCTCTGCTTTTGTCCTCGTCTTTGTTGCGCACAAGATTGTATAAGATGTCAAACCAACTCGCCCAAACAACCACTCTTCACTTTCGTACTTTTTTTTTGAGGGGGGGGGGGGGGGGGGGGGAAGAAAGGAAAAGCAAGGAGTGTTTTTTTTTTGTTTTTTTTTTGTGTCAAATCTTGTTTGTGTCTTTTACGGGGGCCTTGAGCATGCTCATCACGTGGGTCCGGACGCCCACTCGCAAGCTCTGTTGGCTTTTCGGTCAATCGCTCAAGGCCATTGTTTCTTACGTCCCGAAAACGGAAAAGGGCTGTGTTCGAAATCTTACCCAAATAGAGCCGAGCTGCTCCAACGGGTCATGTCACGTGATAACGCAGATAGAACGACGCTGGACGCGAGTAGGTTTTTCAAACGCACCGGTCTTCCTTCGGTGATTTTCCAAAAGAACTAAGCCTTTTTCTTTCTTTTTTTCTTTTTTCCTCAGGTAGGTTCGCTCTTCGCAAATTTTATAGAGAAAATGCACCACCTGTGGGCAGAGCTGCACAAAATCGTAGCGCAATAGGTTGAGAAACCGAATTTTGCGGTCGATTTGAAGAGCCTGGCCGCTATTTAGGGGGGGGGGGGGGGGTCGCCTGCACACTCGCAGTACGAAAATACTGCGAGTGTGCAGGCGAGCTGGTAGATGTTCATCATGTTGAAAACCACCCGCGGCCGAGATTGGTAAAACATCAGAAACTTGGTAGAAGAAAAGGGACACAGGGAAGTAACAATTGGGGGGGTGGGGGGGGGGGGGGGGGTGACGTTTCTTTCCTGTGTCCTTTTTCTTCTACTGTTTCCCATCTTTTGCCTCAGTCTCGGGTAATTTTCAACATTATCAACTTTGTGTGTGTGCGTACATGCAGGGTAATTTTTAGACTTTTACACTGTTTTTTTTAATAAAGCTGGGAAAGCTACAGTAATGCAGTTTCTGCATGTGAGTTACACGGCCAGGGAGCATAATATGGGTGCTAATCGTCAAGATAAGTCGGCTAATTAACTAAAATATGTTGATAAAAGTTTTCGACTCAGTAGAGTAAATATATGGTGCCAATGAAAAACTTGCTGAGCGTCATGGAAAACCACTAAATCAATCAATTTTAGAAATACCTTGAGAACATGGGAAGCTCGATAGAGCACTGAAGTTTCCCTTTCGAGCAGCAGGCCACCGGACCGGTAATCTGCCCTCGCTCTTTTTTCGTCTCTTATCCGCGTTTTTTTTTTTTTTCTTTTTTTTTATTGTTAGCTTTTTTTTTTTTTTTTTTTTGCAGTAGAGGTAACTTTAGCGCACTGCTGCGCTTCCCATGAGCTCAAAATCCTTCTAACAATTACTGAAATGGTGGTTATCGAATTGAAATTGTATGAAAAAACGGTTCAAGTACAGGCGAGCTGGTGTATGTTTGGTTTCACTAATTAAAATTGAATTGACAAATCTTAGTTGATTAGCCCATTTACCATGATGATTATCCTCCTATAATATGCGCCGCTGGTCGTGTGATACATCTGCACACACCACATTAATAATGTAACTTTCATGTATTTTTTTTTTTTTCATTATGATCTAAATCTGTGTTGCTGTTTTCTTAGAACGCGGCCACGCTGCGGCAAAGCGAGATACACAACATAGCAATAACGACTCTGCAGATGTCGCTTCTCCGCAGTACACCGGTGCGCCAGGAGAAGCGCACTCAACGGTGCTGAACCTGCGCAACCAGGTCCACAAACCATTCCATAGTAGATCCACGGCGCTTTCCAAAAATCCGCGAGGGAGGCACCATTCCGCTCCGTACTACCCGCTTCAAATCGACGAGCGGAAGTATTTTTAGAGCGACCCACCGATTCACCGGAGATGGTCGGTCGTTCAAAATGGCCGCTGCTCGAACTTGACAAGCCGACCAACACCTCAGCCGACTGAGAAAGGTAGACTCAATGACACGTGTCACAACCAAAATAATAATAAAAAAGAACAAATGAGATTGAGTAACTGGGGCACGGAAAAGATGCAAGGATTAAAGAACTTGAATGGGCAGTGGAAAACGCTGAACAATGCTCTCGGAGAAAAAGCATAGCAATTAATGGATATCCCCCAGACGATCGTGAACACTCGACAGCAGTCATGTCAAACCTAGCAACGAAACTGAACCTATCTCTGCCGCAATCCGATAAGATAGAGTCTATGCGCATTCTAAAAGCGGGGTTCGGTAAAACACCTATACTCCGTTCACGCTCGCCGCCGCGTTTTCTGCCCAGCGTTTCGCCCCAGCGGCAAAAGCTGGGCGGATTCGCTAGTGGATCCGCAAGTGTAAACGTACCATAATTCAGCTCAGCTCTCGTGTTTGTGGCATATATGCCACAAACACGAGAGCTCGAGGTCGCTGCTTTGAAGCGTTCTTCCGCAGAACGGGCACTTCTCAAACCCAAGAGCACAGGCTAGCTCGCACTTAAAGCTTTGGGTGCAGTCTCAGCGTAAAACCCGACCTACAAAGCAGTTTTCCGCGAGGTAGAAAAAGTCTACTCGCCAACCTTCTCATTTCCCCCTGTCCCAGATATCTTGACGTCGGCGTGACTCCTTTTGTTCCTGCGTCTTGGGCCTAGATAAGACGGGATAACCTCCCTGCTTACCCAGTCCTAAGATGCAGCAACAAAAGTTGTTCCCCCCGCCGTCAAGATGACAGTGGGAGAGGAAGAAATGGCAAGGGTGGCGAGGAGGACTGTCCTACCCTGCGGAAAATTATTTTGTAGGTCGGCCTTTAAAGGGTATATTATAGTACGTTAAATTAAAGGAGTATATATGTGTATATATATATATATCTAGAGAGAGAGAGAGAGAGAGGGGGAATATAGTACGGTTTCAATGACAGATCAGAGCGGGACAGGCCAGCAAACGCAAGAGCATATCAACGAGAACTTGACCAGGTTACAGATGTGGTATTTCTGGAATGCAAAGGATTGTGAGGGAAATGGGTTACAACTTATGCGTCTAAATAACAAATAAAAAATGCATATATATATACATATATATATATATATATTAGAAAGAGGGAGGAGCGGTTGCTCGCAGCTCGAATTGATGACAAAACTGAACTAAATTCAACGATGCCTTTCGACGCATTTAAAGAATGGGATAGTCATATTGAAAAAAGTACTAGCTGAAGGAGAAAGAAACGAAGACCAAGTCCCATATATCGTTCAAATATATGTTAAAAGCCTAGGAAGCGCAGTGATGAACTAAATCTTTACATAGCACTGCAAAATCACTGGTAGATATAGATGTGCTTATACTTACCGAAATAAATATTGAGATAAAACGAAAGACGTTTACAAATCTCTGTAATGCGAAACTAAAGCGCAGCTCTTGAGGAGGGAAGGAGGAGGAGGGGAGAGTTTCTTCTTTCCTCCTCCGAGGAGGGGAGGAAAAAAGAGGAGGGGGAGAAGTTAGTCTTTCCTCCTCCTCCTTCTTCCCTCCTCTTCTTCTCCTGTAGCTGAATTTGTTCATGGGTGACGTGACACAAAGTCGTGACGTCATTTTCCCCGCTACATTTAGCGAGAAACTGAATTGGTATTGCGGTCACGAGACGTCGATTTCCCCGCTAAATTTACCGGGGAAACTTAACCCGCTAAATTTAGCGGGGAAGCTAAACCCGCCAAATTTAGCGGGAAATTTTCCCGCTAAAGGGGGTTCTTGCATACTTTAACATCAGCTGCGTTATGACTATTGACGTATCTTTACAACATACCAAAGCTCTCGTGATAAATGTACAAGACAGCTGCCATGTCTTTCGCCAGATAACTTTCACATTAAACCT